GTCAGGCCCAGCATTGGGACAGAGCACATCTGCAACATATTTATGTTGAACACATAACCAGAGTGGGCAAATCTCTTGACTTTCAGTCTTTCCTATGTAGAATAGAAATTGTACTCCACCTTCAAGGTTTCGCTTTTTAATTTTTATTTTGTGTGTATGAGTGTTTTGCCTGTGTGCATATAGGTGCACCTGTACATGCAATGCTCATAGATGCCAGAGGAGGGCGTCAGGTTCCCTAGAAATGGAGTTAAGCATGAGTGTTAGCTACCATGTAGGGACTGGGAACCAAACACAGGTCCTCTGTAAGAGCAGCCAGTGTTCTTAACCACTGAGCCATCTCTCCAGCCCAAGGTTTTACTTTTTATCCAGCTCTAACTTTATATGAAAGGACCTGGTCAGGATTTTTGTTGTGCGTCTTGCAGGGTCTATCTGTCAGCCCTTTCTTCCCTTCCATGCCTCTTCAAGTGTTAGATGCCAGTCTCATGTTAAAGCTTGGTGGTATGCCTAGAAGTGAAGTTTTAAGAAAGAAAAAGAAAATTTATTCTGTTATATTTCAAACCAAGACTAGTGTGGTCTGCATTTTCTTCCTTTGCAAGTATTTGTGTATGATATAACAAAAAGGGAGCTTATGTGTAAAATTATAAGAAGGCTTTCAGCATTTTAAGAGGACACAGCAACGTTAGTCCTAGACTATAAGCCCCATGAAAGCCAATATAACACTGTGTATCAATGTGGGCTCTTAAGAGGATATTTCTGAATGAACCCTGGGGCATTCCACAGTATGTTTTATAACAAATTCAGGTGACAATCTGTCTTTTTGTTAGTACAGAATCTGTTACTTTCTTGGGCAAGATTGTTTTATTGACACAGTTCAAAAGCCATGCTCATAGGAGGGGCCACTTAGAGGAGGCCCAGTACCTTGGAACCTTTGTGGTGGAAGTACTTGGGGACTATGCTGTGACAAGAAAGCCCAGGCCCCTCCTCACCACCCCCGGCAGAGACTACATCCCTGTCTCTGGGGCAGAGGGGCCTTTTGGGTCAGATTCACTCCGCCTAGCACATTTGTTTTTCCAGTCTTTGCTGAGTGGCTTTTTTTCCTATAGACTAGCAAGTACATGGGGCTAGCCTACAGCCTGAGCTAAACTAGATGCTTCACCCAGTTCCTGGTTCTGAGGAGAGTATATTGTCTGTATCTGAGTTTAGTCTAGCTTTGGCTATGACAAGTGAGGAATTGGGAGCCCCATAGAACAAATATGATACACTGATCAGAGAAGAGGGTCACAGGAGGTGAGGGGACACCTGTAGGAGAAAGGTGTCTCTTGTAATTGGCTCTTTTCTTCCTGTTTAAAAACAATCATTTAAGCCTGTACTTCTCAGGATTTTGGAAAAAGAGGAAGTCATGTCATTATTTGCTTCTCACCTCCTACTTCTAACCAACCATCACTTAAAATAATCTTAAAAGTCAATGCTTATTATGTAAGTAGATATTGAGTAAATAAAGATATCAAGGCTTTGGTTCTAAGAAAATCTTCCCAGTCTATCTTTCAGACTATTTCTTTTTGCAGATCAAAATTAAGTTGCTGCCAGGCATGGGGGCCCACGTCTTTAATCCCAGCAAACAAGAGGCAGGGGCAGGTGGATCTCTGTGAGTTCGAGGCCAGCCTGATCTACATAGCAAGTTCCAGACCAGCTGGGGCTACAGAGAGACCCTGTCTCAAAAAGACAAAACAAAAAATAAAAACAAAAGTTCCTGTTTAAGCAGTTTGATGTACTGGAAAGGAAAGGAATAACACAGGAAGCCTCGATTCTGGTTCCAACTTCAAACCATTTATCTGCTGGGCAATTTTGAGCAAATTGTGACCTCTGTTTGCTCACTAGTAAAGTACAGGTCATAATGACAGCTCTTTTGAACACAGGTTATTGTAAAGATCAAATGAGACATATATATGGTTGTCACTTTCTGCAGAAGACCCCTCACCCTTTCTTTAAGTAAGGAAGTTATTATTATTATTATTATTAGTAGTAGTAGTAGTAGTAGTAGTACTACTACTACTACTACTACTACTACTATTACTATTTTGGTCTTTCTAAGACAGGGTCTCCCTGTAGCCCCAGCTGGCATGGAACTCATTATGTAGACCAGGCTGGTTGAACTCACAGAGATCCACCTGCCTCTGCCTCCCAAGTGCCGGGATTAAGAGCCTGTACCACCATGCCCAGCCTGGGAAGTTGTTATTTTTAAATGTTCATTTTAGTAACTACCACTATCATTTTTCTCTAAAAACAGGTTTTCTGTAAAACATTTTTAAAGGTATACAGACTAGTAAATGGTGAAATCTTTTATAAGACACCTAAAAGCCACTGACTTTCTTGGATACTTTGGAGGAATAGCTGGAGTATACTGATGGAAAATTGAAAAAATGATCTGAACTAGTGATGTAAGATCAAGTGATCTTAATCTGATGCTGGTGTTTTACCACCTCTAGTTCCCTCTGACTCATCACCATCAGAACAGAATGGGTACTCTAGCATAACATCTCTGTTGATGGTGTCTATCATGGGACTTTGTAGCTAACTTTGAGTAAAGATGTTTTCATAGCTGTAAATGTTGTCAATGTAAAGAAAAGAATTTTGACTCTAGATGGACATATTAATAGTAGGCAAGATAGGAATCTTTTAAGGCAGAACCGAAGTACTAAATTGAAAATCAGAGAATTTTTTTTTTAAATATAGAAGACTGGCAAAGAATTAGAAATCTGGAGAAGAGAGACAGAATCTTTTAAAGATTGTAGGATGGTTTTCAAGCATTACAGAATAGGGCTTTGTGAGCAAATGAAACTGCAAGTATTTGTGAAAAGGGAGAGGGGAAGGATATGGACCCAGGACTAGGTTAAGAACCTTAAAGGTAATTATGACTAAGTGAATTTTAAAAATGACATGGCATTTTAGTCACTGACTTTTAGAAATACTCTATTAGTATCTTAGGATCTCAAGCCATAGAAATATTTGGGTTACCATTTGAAGTATATGAAAATAACAACTGAGCCTGAGGCTAGCCTTCTTCCCTGACAAATATCCAATCGCCGCTCATAAAAGAAGCTTCTTTTACATCAGATGGAGACTGTTACACAACTGGTCACACACAGGCATCATCTGTGAATTGCCCAAGCCTAAGTGGCACATCTATAATGCAGCCTCTACACCTAAGGCTCATGGAACATAGAAAAAGGGTGAAGAAGACAATAATGAATATCTCAGTCCTCATTAATGAAGCTCCCCCATGCAACACAATGCCAGGAACACAAACGGTCACAAATGGTCAAAGTGTAGTGACTAATGCAGAATGCTGGTCCTTGGACAGGACTCCCATATGAAACTATACCCACCCAGGGCTCAGGGACCATTTCAGAAGAGGGGGCAGAAAGATTGGAAGAGCCAGGGAGGAGGTGCATGAAATATGGAAATAGAGTCCTACAGTTCCTGGGATAGTAATGGGGTCAGCATGCACAGGACCTATGCAAACTCAAATCAGACAAAAACTCAGCAGAGAACTGTGGAAATGGACAGCAGGCCCCAATCTTAGCTGAAGAAATACTGGCAACAGATTACTCCTGGGTGAGGAAGAGCTGATCTTCCTAAAGCGAGAGACTCTAGATAGGCTGACTAGACCTCAGTAGATAAACTTGTACTGAGGGATGTCTGGGGACACTAATTTGACATAATAGTCCTTAACACAAATGACACAATTATGAATTTCAGTGGGGAAGGGGATATAAAAATGATTAAGATTTGCTTGAGATGATCTGTATGAAATACACAAAATTTCAAAAAGAGACTCAAAAGAAGTCTCAAAAGAGACTTCAAAAGAGAAAGTAAATGGAATCCTGTTTCACTGACTTAATAAATTTTATTCACATAATGGAAAAAAAAAAGAACAATTGAGCAGAATAGTATTCTCACCCCTGACCTTGGTGTATATAGACAGTGAGAATTATAGGGGGAGAAGTGGATTAATCATGCATTTTATGTGATTTCAGCCTGCCTGGTGTGTGTGTGTGTGTGTGTGTGTGTGTGTGTGTGTGTGTGTGTGTGTGTGTTTCAATATTTTTGTTTTATGTGTATGAGTGTATTGCCCTCATGTATGTAAGTGCACCTATGTTGTCCAGTGCCCAAAGAAGTCAGAAGAGGGTGTTGGATTCCCCTGGAACTAGAGTTATGGACAGTTGTTAGCTGCCATGTAGGTGCTGGGAATGGAGCCCAGGTCCTCTGCGAGAGCAACCAGCACTCTTAACAGCTGAGCCATCTCTCCAGGCCCTGCTTATGTTTTATACTGACAGAATAGGTCCTGTAGCCAGCATGGCCTACATTCACTACTCTCTTCTGCTCTCTAACTTGAAAACCAGTTTAATTTCTAACTTTGGTCTGTTATTCTGAAATCTTTTGACTCTACCTCACTGCTTCTCCCCTAACTAAACATTACCCTCCACCCCATGTTACCTGTAATACAAATGCTCACAGGAAGATAATGGAGTGCGTATTTCCTTGTGCTTTTCAAGGAAGATGGATTGAGGTTTTCTTTCCTGTTTATTCTGCATTGCTTTTGTATACTGCTGAATGATAAAGGACAGAGTAACCACTCCAAATATTACACATTTTATTCTAAAGCTAAGATTTGTTGGGTTTCATAGGAACAGGCTTTTGAATAGCAACTTTTAAAAATTAAGTGAAAACTTATTAGTGGAAAAATTACAATGATTTTAGGCCCCAGGAGGTTGACACTATGTACATAGTGAGCAGTCATTTGTTCTTTATTGTAAATATAGTCAGTTAAGTTCACTGTAAAAATGAATTGCATTTATCGAAGAATTGGTAAGGTGCCTTGAATTCTAGCAATTTGGCATTTCAAAACACATAGAATAATTTTGAAACATGACAATAGGATAAAAATTTCTGTAACTTTACATCCACTGTTCATCACTTGCTTTTTTTTTTAATCTGAACAGAATTAAGAAGAAAGTGCTTCCACAATCACAGCAGATGAAGATTCACTGGTAGATTTGAAGGAGTTTTGGCCTGCACGCCAAAGAAAAGGTAACTGGCTGTTCTGACATAGTATGGCTGAATGAATGCATTACTTCCAGTTATAATAGAATTTGAGATGGAATGATAATTTTTTTTAAATTTTATTATTTTTATTTTATGTGTATGCATGTATTGCCTGCATGTAGGTAAGTGTACCCATGTCGTGCAATGCCCGTGGAGGACAGAAGAGGCTGTCGGATCCCCTGGAACTCTAGTTACGGACAGTTGTTAGCTGCCATGTGGGTGCTGGGATTCAAACTCGGGTCTTCTTAAGAACAACCAGTGTTCTTAACCACTGGTCCATCTCTCCAGCCCCTGGGATGATAATTTTTATAATATTAGTATCTGTGTACGATCTTAAATTTAAGCATGGTTCGTAAGTGACAGTGAATATGAGGAGTGAGGTATTGTTGAAGATTGATTCTCTACTCAAGAACTATAAAATAGCACACCCTGTATATCCATTTGCTAAAGCTCTTTCCTAACCCCTCACCTACTTTCTTCCTAGGATGTTGTTCTGTATGCTCCTGTGGGTTATTCTTTTTTTCCCCCCAGCTCCGGCTCCCCCAGCTCTTACTTTTTTCTCTTCTCACAATGCAGACAGCTTCTAGGGCAGGGAAAATTCTACACAAGATTGGAAAAGAGAAGGGCTCTTCAGGCACACTTTGGGTGTCCAGTGCCTTTGACCAGGCTGACAGCTCTGCACTCAGGAGCAGTCTTGGATCCTTGCAGTAATAGCAGTCACCATTAATTCAGCTTTTCACTACACTTTTTGTTTTGTTTTTTGAGACAGGGTCTCACTATATAACCCTTGCTGGCCTGGAACTCATTATGTAGATCATGCTGGCCTGGAAATCTTACAGAAATCTCCTTGTCTCTGCTGGTATTAAAGGCATGCATCACTACACCTGGCCCACAAGAGTTTTTAAAAATTTTATTTTATTACATTTATTAATGGTGTGTGTGTGTGTGTGTGTGTGTGTGTGTGTGTGTATACATGTGAAGAGGTCAGAGGACAGTTTGTCTCTCCTTCCACAATTAGGGTTCCGGGAACTGAATTCAGGTTGTCAGACTTCATGACAGTTGTGTTTACCTGCAGAGCCATCTCACTGGACCTCCTGGAAGACTTTTGATTAAATTAATAAAATACTGCCCTCCCATCTACTCTTGAAAGAAATGAGGGACCTTATATGTTAAAATTCAATTTAAAATGAGTCATTGAAGTTTAAAACTGAACAAACTCCAGACAGGAAAGACTAAAGGAATTTCAGCCTCTGGAATTGATCAAGATATACTTAGGCAACAAATGTGGCATTTCAATCAGATTTTAAGTAACTGTAGCAAAAATGGGAAACGGTTTGTACAACATGGACATTCATCTGCAAAGATAACATTTTTACCATCATCACATCAAAGCGTGAGCTTTAGGAATGTGGTTGGTAGTTCTGTTTAGGAGGTGTTTAAAAGAACATTGCTTAGGCCTGGTGGGAGTATGGTGGCACACAGCTATAATTCCAGCATGCTAGAGGCAGAGGCAGAGGCAGGCAGATTTCTGTGAAATTGATGCCAGCATGGTTTACATAGTGAGTTCCAGGCCAGCTGGGGCTACAGGGAGACCCTATCTCAAACAAAACAAAACCGAGCGATGATTTAGACAGCTAGAAATTTCTGCTTTCAAAATATAACCTTAAACTTTTTTTTTTAGCTTTAAGGTAATGGACCAGATCCACAGAGGTATCAATACCTTCATCGATCATCATAGCAATCTACAATGTTCATTGTAGAATGTTGGGCAGATGCCAACAGTGAGAGAACAGGGCTTTTCCTGTATGGTGGCTGGCCACAGGCAGTAGTGGGGTCTGAGAGGAAGCACATTTGGCAGGATGCCCAAGGAGCTCTTTAGTCCAGAACTGTTCACTGAGATTCTACTGTGTGCAACGAGATTATCTCTGAGAGAAAGCAGAGAGGAATAGGAGGTCGTGGCCACGGATTATATGACTTACACTTCTGAACATTGCACTGATTAAAAGATGAATGTGATACAAGGGGCAGGGCAAGAAGAGTTATACATCCAATCTGTATTGAGCAGACAAACAACAGTGACGTGGGCAGCATGGAACTGCTGGGGACTTCAAGCCCAAGGCCAGTCTAAAGTGGTGGTTCCTTCGACTCCTTTGCAATGAACTGGCTGTAGCTCCAGTTTCCTGTCATTCAGCAAGTATTTACCAAGTGCCAGCCTTATGCTACATTCTTTTTTGGGCACTGGGAATAAATTGATAAACCGAAAGAATATGGGCTGTAGAGACGGCTCAGTGGTTAAGGGCACTGGCTGCTCCAGTTCCAGGGAATCCAATTCCCTCTTCTGACCTCTGTAGGCATTGCATGACATGAGTGCACTTACATACATGCAATCAATACACTTATGCACAGAAAATAAAAATAATAAAAATACAAGATCCCCCATTGAATTAACATTTTTAACTGATAAATAAATTACATGTATTTGTTATCACAGCACATTATTTTGAAATATATACCTTGGAATAACTAAATTAATTTAATGAACATATTTTTACCACACATATTTGATTTTTTTTAAACTGAGAATCTAAAATCTGTTGTCTTAATATTTTCAAGTATATAGTAACTATAATCACCACATTATAAAAGAGGTTTTTGAATTCTCCTTTAAGGTTTTATACTTTACTGTTTTATGACCCATGGACTCCAATTTGTGCTTTCTCTGAGTGAACCACCATCCATTAGGGTGCAGTCAGCCTAACAGGGGCCATAGACTTAAAGAAGACTGAGTCTTCCTCTCCTAGAATTCATCAACTGCCCATAGCTCCTGTTGCTAAAATTCCTTCTGGGAGGTGCGAACACCATTTAGCCCCCTTCTCCCACTGTCCTTATGACAAACTGAGGTATAAGTTCTCCAAACTAAGGTTGGGAAACTAAAGTTTATTGGATTACTTACAGAGCAATGAATGAGGGTTTACTTACAAGAGGGTGGGCATTCCCCCAAAGACTGCACTGGAAAGTCTCCATCCTGGCTCAGATGTGACCTCCTCACCTCTGTACAAAATGGCTAGAGAGCATCTCTCTACAGGCTTCCTCAGCTTAGTCCCTCCTGCTTGTGCCTCTAGGGCCTACTGGTTGGTTCGGAGGTGTGGCTGACTCTCCCAGCCCCTCCTTTCTTGCTGAGTGTCAATGGTCAGATTTGTTTGTGATCTTTTTTTTAAATTTTTTTTATTTATTATTTTTACTTTATGTGTATGAGTGTATTGCCTGCATGTAGGTGAGTGCGCCTGTGTCCTGCGGTGCCCGACGAAGACAGAAGAGACTTTTGGATCCCTTGGAACTGGAGTTATGGACAGTTGTTAGCTGCCCTGTGGATGCTAGGATTTGAACCTGGGTCTTCTGCAAGAATAGTCAGTGGGGTTTTTTTGTTTGTTTGTTTGGTCCTTTTGAGACAGGGTCTCCTTGTATTCCCAGCTGGTCTGGAACTCACTAGGCAGACCAGGCTGGCCTCAAACTCACAGAGATCTGCCTGCCTCTGCCTCCCAAGTGCTGAGACTAAAGGCTTGTGCCACCACACCTGGCCCAAGAATAGTCAGTGTTCTTAACTGCTGAGCCATCTCTCCAGCCATTTGTGATAATCTTAAGCAAGGGGGTATAACCAAGCTTGGGAAGAAGGCGTCTGTCTATGGTTTGATATTCAGAGTTCAGTTCTAGGATGCAGCTCCTCAGTTAAGGGTGGGAGCTCATGAACATGTATTCCACTCCATGCTAGAATGCTGGCTTGATCTTGTGCAGGTCATGTCTAGACAACCACAGCTTCTGTGAGTTCTTGAGAGCACCAGTCCCGTTACGTCTAGAAGGTACTGCTTTGCTCTGGTCCTCCCTGGCCTCTGGCTCGTATATCTGCCCACACACACCATGATTCCTGAGCCTTGGGGAGGGACATAATACATAAATTAACCATTTGTGGCTGAGCACTCCACATTCACGTTTTGCAGCTAAATTTTTCTTAAGGGAGGCACATGTGGCTTCCACCTCCCTCCTCCCACCATCTTTACAACAAACCGAGATAATATACCTCCAAGTTATAGTTTGGGGAACCAAAGAATTTACTGGGCTTACTAACAAAGGGGGTGGGCTTGGGGGTGGGGGTGGGGGTGGGGGTTGGGGTTACTTACAAAGGTGTGGGCATGTGTGGGCTTCCTTCCTACATTGTGGCCAGGACCCTCTGATCTCCCAGCAGTGGCCCAAGATGGTGAAGACTGCCCCCTCTCTCCCACTTCCCCTGTCCCCATCCTTAGTCTGTCCCCCAGGTACCACTTAGGCCAGCTGGTTAGATGGAAGGCATGACTGATTCTCTCTGCCCCTCCTCTCCTCTGGAGCAACTGTAGTCAAATTAGTTTGTGGTGATTGAAGCAAGTATGTAAATCTCAGTTGGAGAAGGCATCTGTCCACTGCTTGCCAGTCTAGCTTGCCAGGCAGAGGATAAGTCTATAAACACTTATTCTCTGCACCGTTACCAAGTTTTTCTGCATCACTCACCATCCATTGCATTAAAAAAAAAAAACTTCTCTGATGAGGTCTGCCCTAATCTTGGTTCAGGACTGACCTGTTTGCTGAGTCCACAGCAACCTAGATTTTATATTCTTTTATTTAAAAAAATATTTTAGTATGTATATGAGTGTACTGCCTGCATGTATGTAAGTGTACCCATGTCATACAGTGCTCGTGGAGATCAGAAGAGGGCATCAGATCCCCTGGAACTGAAAGTACAGATGGTTGTTAGGTGCCATGTGGGTGCTGGGAACTGAACCCAGGTCCTCTGCAAGAGCAACCAGTGCTCTTAAACACTGAACTCTCTCTCCAGCCAACCCCCCAGATTTTGTATTCTTAGCAAACATTGTTCCTAACCTCCAGTATCTGGAAATGACCATCTGTTCTTTGAATTCAGCTTTCTTTAGGCTCCACAAACAAGTGAGATTATACAC